AGACGCGTATGCATATTTGCAGATATGAGAGAGCTCGCGGACAGAAACAAGTCAAGCAACACCCGGATGAGGAAGACAACAACAAAAAAGAGGTAGAACAGCAGACGTCAGTGAACATTGCAGTTGACGCTGAACAATCCTGGAAATCACAAAGGGACACGTAGGAGTTCGAAACGCGAATCAATGAGAGGAAGTCTAGCAAGACTTACGCACTGGTTAGAAATGACTAGCAAAACTCAATAAGTGGGTTTTATACAAAAATGAAAGCAGAACCAAAGAACAATTCACGGAGTGCCAGCTTCAAGCGAGGGGTGAGTGAAGTTGCACAACCCATGTATCGGAGTAAGGAATTCTCAAAATGAGTGCTTATATACATGTAATTTTCTTCCTAATCAAAGAAAAGGGATGTAAATTTTCGGAACATCATCATCATCATCATCGTACAGCGAAATACAATGAGGCGAACTTCACTGATAGCTGCCAAACTCGCAATGCATACAAGGTTGATGGTAAAATTTAAGGTGGACAGGAACTATTGGAACTATTTTGATGGAGGGGGGAGAAGGTGAACCTCTATGTTTAACACACCGAGTACGCAATTGAACTCTGCATACATACCGTTTCAAGCATTACGGTCTGACAAGAAATGACAACAAGAACGCCACTGCTGTCGGTTCGCTGTCATAACATTCAATGTTTCCAAACAACCATTTGCAGTCTTTCGGACCCCAACCTGGAATGCGAGAGACACCTACTTTACCTAATGGCTCTGTGCATATCTTCGTGCCTCGTCTCCACGTCATCTGTTGACCTCCACGTGGTTTCCTCCAGCCCGGATTAGCTACAGCGAATAACGTAAGGTGCGGCAGACGGTAGCTGGGCATACGCAATACGTGCCCCAACCACCGAAGCCTACTGNGAAAACCTCTAGCTGATGGATCTCTTCCACTCGCAAATTCAAGGTCTCACAACCAAAAAGCAAAACTGAAAGAACGCTAGCACAATATACAGGACCTTTCAACTTCAGTGAAACGTCGCGCCTACACCACAGGTGGTTCAGTCCTGCGTATGCTTTTTGAGCCTTGGAAATGCGGGTGGTTATCTCTTTTGCTGCGCCTCCGTCATTGATCAAACAACTAGCCAAGTAAGAAAAGTGATTCAAACAATTGATTCCTGGCCGTTTAGTTTCAGAGTGTGAGTAGACGAAAACCCAGTCTTGCAGCATCACTTTACACTTTGAAGGTGCAAAGCACATACAGTGTGTGGCAACTACACTTGTTAATCTATTAAGTGTGCTTTGCGCGTCCCCCATACATTCGAACAGACAAACGATGCCATCGGCGTACTATAAGTCGCACAGCTTTTCTCCAGCTGCCCATCCAATACTTACGTTTTAGAGTCTACTTCATGCGTTCTCCAGAATTTCGTCTACGACGAAATTGAACAGGAAAGGCGAAAGAAGGCATCCTTGACGGACGATGATGATGATGATGATGGTGATGATGATGATGATGATGATGATGATCTTCGGCCCAGTCGAATGCTCTATACTCTAGCGATACCTATCTCTGCCCGAGAAGTTTATTTCAATATTTACACTAATAGCCGAAGCTCAGTCCGAGCTTACGGCAGTTTTCCGCCCGAGTTCACTACAGAATATGATGCTACTTTACTGTTTAACTTTGCCATAGATTTAATTCTTGAAACGGACCTATCCTCATGCGAGGATATCGCACTGATTCGCTCCCAACTGACAGACCATCTGATCTGAAGTATGTGGATGGTATGGTCCTACTAAATGGAGATCCAGGTTAGTTGCTAGCTTTTCTGGATAGTTTGAGTGCTAGTGTATCTATGTTTGGTATGCGCTTTGCACCTTCAAAGTGTAATGCGTGGTCAAGCCCAACGCAGATGGTCCAATAAGACCTGCAATTTTGCTTTGAGTCACGCCAACGGTAACTTCCTGCTATGTGGTCGATTTGAATTAGGATGCCAGTTGAACTGGAGCACCACGTTGCCGTCCGTCGAGAGCTGTGTGGGAAGTTGGTGCTGGTAGGAACAGATGATGGTATGCGCAGAACTGAAGAAGTCGATCGCCGTTATCTGTTCGTTGGCAGGGCAGAGCACGACTACCGCCTAGGCAAGCTTCTGATGCGCTCAGCTTTTCAACTTGATCGTCACTTGCAAGTGCAACTATATCGGAGCTTCGACTCATCCGGATGAGATCGGTGAGTTTATCCTAGAAAGTGTCCTCTTGTGTGTCAGAACCGCAATTATTCGGTGCATATGCTGATATGACGGACAAACACCTTTTGGTGTTGCTTCCCTTCCGGACGCTGATTGAACCCTCGAGTCGCACTGCACATAAACGACTTTTGACGGGCATCCAATCGATAAGAGAGGACGCAGCCACGTTACTGAGTACAATACCTACCCCACGCTGACCTACTCCGCGGGCTTCGTCGTCACGTGATGTGCGAAAAACGTATCTCGAAGGCAAACCTCGCGCACTCAAGTGGTTTACAGTAATAGGATCCCGAATTCGAGTCCCCGACATGCAGCAAATATCGATCCCTAAGGATTCCATTGTGCGCGCCAGACCAGCTTGTTGACCTACCTGCATTAATGTCTTCACGTTGAAGGCCCCGAGATTCAGTGATTGACGAGGCTTCAGAATCTGCAATCCATTTCGTAGTACATTACTCACAGTGCTATTTGGCAACGACCTTTGGCGAGAGACATCCAAGTTGCTTGAGTTCAGTTCAGTTCTTACAACCATTTCCATGCACTTCCGTGCACCGATTCTGCTTTCTGTCTTTTGGTTGTTTGAGGGACTATTACAAGTCGGAAGAAGGGGAAAATGGAGAGGGCTGGGTACGGAAGATAAAGAATTAAACAAAGATTGGTATATCTGAGCAGTAGCCCACTTGTCACTACCCATCCCGCTCGATGTAATGGGCAGCGCGGTCCCGATTATCCTGCACGACGACCGATGCAGTGTGAAACTANGGGGTGTCCAGCCACTAAGCAGGAGAACGATTACAGTTTTCGTCCAAAGCCGTTAGTTCTAACAAGAACCTAACCGCAAGGTAGCGGGTGGAGCGAAGTTGAGGCCCATTTACTTGGATCGATTATCCCTCCACCATTTTTTACCGACTGAAACGCAAATTCCAGACGAACCCCCGACCTGGAGGACCAGGAGACTGAACTTCGTCTGACCTCTACCCATTGACCTTCCATAAATGATACGATCTCCTTGCTTGACAAAAGCCATCCTGTGTAGCTCGTTGGGTCACAGAGGTGCACAAGCCATCACACCACTTCAAGGTGCGGTCTCGTCGTGATGGCTTCTCGTCGTGAACAAGATGTTCAAAGAAGTTCACTAGTGAATCAAAGCGATTATTAGAATACTGTGTCACGAGCAAATGAATCAAATTTAAAATATCATTCCAGCTAAGGATGTAAGCTGCCTACCTGAAGCTACTCAAACCAGAGAAACAACAACTGAGCAAGGCTGTGAACCAATTTGCTAACCATAGGGGCAAGCGGTGCACTGACGGTGCTCGTTCACTTTAAGCTGACGTGCATTCGATCACAATCAAGGAACCATGGCAAGTGTTTCAAGCATAACCAAACCGCGGATCAATCTGTGGATATAACGGGATAAAAAAAATCAACATCGTCTCTAAACTTCTAGCTGGTATTATACTCCGTCGATTGTCTGCCACATGTGAACGATGCAGGCGTGAGAACCACGCTGGTTTTAGACCTGACCGAGGTTGTATAGATCACCTTTCCACTCTTCGTCAAATTCCAGAACACAGACACTCCTTTCGTAGACCCATCGCTTCTATCTTCCTCGATCCAAAAGCGAGTTTCCACGGGAGCAATTACATTGGTTGGGACATGTGTTGCGCATATCGCCAAATAGATTGCCACGGTGAGCGATGCTTGCTGAGACAGGACGGATGGAAGGTCAAGGGTGGTCTAAGTATAACCTGGCATGAGGATATGAAAACCATAACCAGGACACTGGGTCGCATAGGTCCTGTTAGGCTCCCTGGATGAGGACCCCGAGACGATAGTCACCGATGGTTAGAGACACTGAGAGATATGGCTGGATGTCGTAAACAGTGGCGCCCTTACGTCTACAGAGTATTTTTTGCAATCTCCTTGAATTTGCTCTCAACAATCCAATGTTCATTCTGCTCTTTTATCCAAATTGCCGGTCAAAAGACAGCAACCAGCACCGATGCACGAAAGTGCATGGTTATTGGTTGTAAAAACTGAACTAAAAAGAAACTGGAACAAATAAACTGAATATAGAACGATGACGGTCTATTCTAAGATAACATATATGCTAGTCAAAGTTTTGGTTGTAGACGATTTGAGGATCTTTTCAAGATATTAGGTGGCTAATATCGTTGTCTTTGCAATTAATAAACCTATACTGATAATGAAGATCACAGTGAGTTGGAATGAATAGATAACTAACAAGTTCAGCATCTTTATGCCGCATTGTAGTCAATGGAAAGGAGATAGAGAATGATCATACACAACAGCGGAGGCACTATTGGTTCACGGTACTAGTACAGGCATTGTTCGACTAAAATGTGTAAGTATATTAGTTGCCAAACTCCAGCAATGATTACAACACAACCACACACCATGGTAACCTATTAGTTAGTTGTGTGAAGGGGAGTTTTATGGCACAAGCCAATTGATAACAAAAAGAACATATTTTCGGTGTTCTATCGCGTCTAGCTTCAAATTTGTCTGATCATCTGTTGTCACAGCCCAGTTTGGAAAACGGTCGATAAGCAAGCAGATCGAACACCGGAAGCCTCTTAAGGTAATCAATCAAACCGATGGCTTGAATGGCACATCTGTCCGGCAATTCAAACAGAATGGCATTACCAGGGGTATCAAATAAACGCTTGAAAATCATGTGTGTTGGTTGGTTCTCTTGATGTATGCCTATTGCTCCTGTCACTACTAACCCCCACTCCAAGGAAGGAGTGAGCGAGAACATCATCAGGAATAACAGTAGCCAATGGAAACGAGCAAACCGAACCCGTGGAAAATCACTGCCAAAGGAGAAATTCCAACGCCTGGTGGTCAAACGCAATTCGTAGAACTAAGAGACAATCGATCAAAAGTATAGAGTCAGATGCAAAAAGAGCGAGGTGGCAGTGCAAACTGGATCCGGAACGTACCACTGTTTGGACGAATTGGGATCCTTGTGTGTATTCCGTCAAAGTTTCCACGGATCGACTTTGTGCATTCTGCAAATGATTGTCACACTGCACACCTATGGAATAAAGAGCAAATAAAAAGGGGAATGGAGTAGATACTTTTTCACAATCAACTGGGCAATGCATTCCCTGCCGCGGGAAAAGGACAACGAAGTAAAATGGCTGGGTACAGACGTAATGTGTGTGTGTGTCTGGAAAACGTGCATAAATGGCAACACAGACACAACGATCGTATCACACATGAGATATTCCAGGGTCTTCAGAAATTAGTCATTAAGATGAAACCTAGAGAGGAAATCGGACAGATTGAACAAGGAGTGAAGATTTGTATCCATAACTACGTTAAAGTGAATCAATCGAAGAATCGAGGTCAGACAAAGTGGTCTCCTGGTCCTCCAGGTTGGGGTTTCGACTGGAGTTGACGTCTCAGTTGTAAAAAGTGTTGTAGAAATAATTGATTCGAGTAAATGGGCCTCTATTTCGCATCACCCACCACCTTGCATTTAGATTCTAATCAGAACTAAAGGCTTTGGACAAGAACTCTAATCGTTCGCCTAATTAGCGGCTAGATATTCTAGCAGTCCCCGTCCATCAAACTACGATGCAAGCACAGGTTATAAAGAAGTTCATACTACGTCGGTCGTCGCGCATGATAATCAAAAGACGAGTTCAAAGACAAAATCATTCATCTTATTGTTTATTTCACATCTGGCGCAAGAGTGCATTCCATCATCTTGGGACGAATCATTGTTGGCTCTCATTTTCAAGAAAGGATCTCGTAATGACTGCAGAATAGGTTTAGCCATAATCGACATCTGACTCTTTCAAGAGAGACCAATATTTGTGATCAGCAAGTCATATTGATCAATTTTTTACGTTGCGACAGCAGATATCCATCGACTAGAAGTCTTCCACTATTGATGTCCACGTAGTCTCGCGCACGTGGGATGGATTGCGCCCATTAGTAGAGGTAAGCTACCTGCGCTTGGAACCTTATAGAGATAAATTTACTAAGGCATCGAATTCAGAACAATAGGCTTCATTGGTTAGGATACCTATTGTGCACCGCCACTTGTCATATACTACGTCGCACCTTATTCTCTGTAGCCGCTACGGATACAGGAAACCCCGTGGAGGCCAAAAGCTAACGTGGGGACGAGGCATGAAGAAAGGCACAAAACCATTAGATAGAATAGGTGTCTCGCGCCTTCCAGTTTGGGGTCCGAAAGACTGCAACTAGCTGGTTGGGCACTGAAGGACATCGCAACGAACCGACAGCAGCGACGTTCTTGTTGTCATTTCCTATCAAACGAGAATGCCTGAAACAGTATGTATGCTCAGCTAAATTGTTTACTCTGTGTGTTGACTATAATGGTTTACTTTCTTTCCTCTCCCTCAGAATAACTCCAATCCTGTCCACCTTACATATTCCAACTAACTTTGCATGCATCATGAGTTTGGCAGCGATCTGGGAAGCACCGGTACTGCTACCGCAAAATAGAATAAGCGATGGGGAGTTACAGGCTCACAATTTCAAGAACTTAAGCATGAGGGGAGTTCTTTTTCATTACGGACCACTGTCACCTCTCTTCTTTAGTCATAGTTGAGCACGTGATGCGAAAAATCAGATAGACTTCATGATACTTTGAGCAGCTCACCAGCACAACTAGGTTGCAATACTAGGCGGGAGAAAAAAGAAAACGTTCCAAGTCCAAGTTGGGCCAACTCAATTATGACCGTAGATGAATTGTTATCGTATAGCAAACCAAAACAACAGTGCAAAATGAATTCAGTGAGACCCAGGCAGACCACTCGCATTCTATACCCGATTAGTATTGACCCTATTGGTTGTGCAGACTAACACGCAGAAAGTACACCAGGAATATATTCAGCTACGTATCGATTCACTCTTACAAGACTCAGTTCGGGTAGAACCGGAAGTGTAAAATAAATGAAACACACCGCAAGTTACGACTTCCTGTGTCTTGTTTCGCACCATTGATCAACAGAGTATGTCCTCGACAATTTTTTGTCAGAACTATTGTCTTTGCTCACAAATGTAAGAAAGAAAAGTGAATGAGATCCACGATTAACTATATGCGAGAATGTATAAATCCAATTTTCCCCGTACTTCAAAAACCATGTCTATGCTGAGAAAAGCCCGACAGGTCAACTTACGATGTCAAGAAACAATGCGGATGACTGACAGTACCACAGAATAAGTAGATGGTCTTATGTGCGTGAGCGTGTGATTTTGAGGCATCTTGCTTAAGGAAATTGCGCTGTGATTTTCAATTTCCATCCACTGAACAAATAAAATCGACTAGATGTCACAACCAGATAATGGGCCTGACCTAGCGAGGCCTTATGTGGTTTGGCACTTCAAGTCCCGGGGCTTAGGTTGCCGGTTGCCATCAATGAATAACAGGTTTTCGTGACTATGGGGTCTGCCCCGTCTGCTGTTCATCATACTGTGGTGTGTAATAAAAAGATCACTAAGAGCAACGAAAATTCTTGCGTGTGTGCGTACGTATGAATAACTGATCTTGCTATGTTCAAGAAGGGATCTCGCAACGATTGCGAAGACCACGGCGGGGTAAGTTTGATCCTAATCATCATTAAATTGTCAGCCAAAGTGTTAGATGTGTGACTCCTATGAGGGAGTTCAACATCCGTGATCAACAACCCGGATTCCGGTCTGACCGTGGATGTATTGATCAAATTTTTACATTGCGTCGGGTCATTGAGCTGCGTCACACAGTGTTCCCTGACCTGAAAGGAGCTTTTGACCAAAATGATCGCGAAGCTCTAATAGGTTCCATTTTTCGAAAAGGAACGCCCCAGAAGTACGCTAACTTGGTGAGATCACTGTACTCGCCTCTGGTCGAGTGAGAGTCTACACCGAACTAAGTGGGTCGTTTGTCACTAGCAGCGGCATTCATCAATGATGCCCTATTTTGTCACCAAGTGGTCTCCAAAACGTGGGTATTGAAAGGATAGCTGGGGAAAAGATGTGCAATTTGGAGTACCCGATGACATCATCTGGCTGTTCGAATGTGTGAAGGATGCGTGAAGCGCACTCCATAGACTCGATAGATAACTGCAGTTATCGCATCCGGTATGTGTTTTGCATCTACTAAGTGCAAAGTGATGCCGTTCGATTGGGTGGGTCTATAAAACGAATGTCCGTGTTGTATTGTAAATCGGTAGGATTAAGGACTCACACTATTCACTTGTAATCTGTTCACTCTCCCATACAGAACCCAAGAGTTTTGTCAACTACAAAACCAAGGCTGAACCGCCATCCTTTGAAACCGATTGGGACAGTCCAACGGGTTGGAGATCTTATACCTTTGAGATAACTTGTTTCCTTAGAAACATCCATTTCGGATGGAGTATAAATATCAACTGGAAATATTTTACCAGTCGAGGTGTGGTGTTGATGGGATCAGCCGAACTGCCTTCGGCTCTATGAATGGGACCGCTCTAAGGCCAGGAATTAGTTATAGTGGACTGCATTTCCTACTTAGGTAGCTGTGTGACCAATGACGGTAGCACAGCAAAGGAGATCACCGTCCGCATTTCCAAGGGCCGAGTGGCGGAAGCAGGACTGAAACATCTTCGGTGTAGACGCAATGTTTCACTGTAGTCGAAGGGTCGTGCATGATGTGCTACCGTTGTTTGAGCTCTGTTGCACGATATTGAGACCTTGAATATGCGAGCAGGCGATATTGATCGACCAGTAGTTTTCGATTATAAGTGCTTTCGTAATTTAACCCAAGTAGGATGGAGCGAACGGGTTAGCAATCTCAAGGTAAGCCGTCATGCGTTTGCGGTATCAACTGTATCAACCTGCTAGTTCATCCGATTCAGATTAGTAGGCTTTATGGGAGAGGAAACATAGTGTGGTTGCCTAGCTTTCATCCGTCTGATACTGTTACTGCTGCTGCTGATGATGATGATGACAAAAAAGATGACTATCAGCTCTTTTAAATGGAACTCGTGGATGTTCGTACATTTTCGGCAGCATTTCTTTAAACCAGTGAAACCGTAGAAAAAGAAAGAATTATCTTACGAAATGGGCTTTATTGGCTATGCAAACATTTCTCCAACATAACAAGAAATATCTACCGCCTAGGAAAGAAAAACGGGAATGAATGGTAACACTTCAGTAACTGAATAAACTGTTTGCCTTGGATAGGGGGTATACGGTCAGGGGTAACAAAAGAAGCCAGGAAATACAACTTACTCCAAACAAACTGCGAAACATTTGTCTACACTCGTCTTCGGTAATTCAACAAATTTTTACCTCGGTTACTTATAGTCCCAATGCATTTCATCCTTGACCTCCTCTCGTCCCCCTCTAATCCTACAGTTGTACATGTACCCTGTCATGAGGCATGCGAACAGTGGGAAAGCGTAGCATCTAAGTATCTATGTGTACCAGTGATGTACGTTATTATCACAGTCGTTTGACGGGCTCAAAGAGTTAGTATGTACTGCACGATAAAATCAACAGAGTTAAAGCCATGACCAAATGAGCGTCGAATTATGGAAAACTAGGGTTACTTCAAATCAGCTAAATTCCCGATCCATTGAACAAATACAAATACCCAGCAGTTCAAGTGATATTTTAATACACGCGCACGGCGTACATAATGTCTGATCTCCCGAGAGAGAATGCAACCAACCAATCCGTGATCCACTTTTAACTTTAAAGGCACTTTGCGAACTCATAAATGGTCACGGGAACACATTATCGCTCGATTCTTGTGCGTGTGTACGAGGCAGAGAACAGTGATAAAGTAGAGATTGGCACGAGTCAACAAACTTGGTTGGTACCGATGCTTTCACTACTATTGGAGTGAAACCAGTTGTCGCATTCACAAATAACTTGCATTCTTAAGAAGCAATCAAGAGCATCCGCATGGGACAGGTGAAAGCAGAGGAATGTTCGATTTAGTCTACGCCAATAAAGACACATACACACACATGAGTAGTGCCGGAATAAAGCAGCAGACAATAAAAAAAGTTCTACCTGCAAGATTTGTTCACAATAGCTATGACAAAAGATGACCCGTTGCGTAGGAATGGTGAGAGGCAAGAAAAGCGAGAGTTTTCGTGGCGGATTATTCTGATAACAAACGAAATTTTGAGTGATCTATTGAAGATCTGGTTACCCATTAATTCATCCGCGTTGAGCAGCGTTTCAAGAGAGTGATAAAGACCGTTCGGGACTGTAAATGAAAGTTACCTCATCACTGTACCAAAAATGATGCGATGACTATTTGCAGGAAAGACTGTAAGACTAATCCGGAAAAGTGATGCTTTTATTGGTTAGAACGTTCGGTAATCCCAAAGCAATCGTCATCGCACTGAAAAAATATACTCCAGTAAAAATAATAACTAGTTTTGAAATCACCAACAGGGTGTACACGATAATTCAGTTCCACAATCCATGAGGAAGGTTGTGGCATAATCCACAAAAATATTGTTTTCTTATTCATTTCTCCTTTGCTCGCATTCCGAACCAATTATGGACCAACATAAGAATGATCTATACCAAGAGAGCATCATTATGTGTAATTAAAAAGTTATTGTAAGGTCATTTAATGGTGAGTGAATTATTGGTTTTGCATAACAATCTCATTTGAAACAAAATATGAATAAGTAACTCCTTTGAAACACGATTCCCCGTCATTCGGGCGAAATGATTCATCATAACGCAGGAGAGCGAAAAACACACAGAAGTCCCTGTTTTGGCGCAGTACAGACAAGCATTCCATCAATTACTAACAACATTGGCTATCAGTTGATTAAATGAGCGTAATCAACACGAGTAGAGGGGTTGAGAGCGTAGTTTGGCAAAATCAGATGACAAATAGAAAATCAAAAATGANAAAATGACAAAACTATGCAGCAATCTGAGGGTAAACTGTAAGTGAGTTGATTAGGAGAGAAAACGATCCCAAGGGAAGTAAGCGGTGTACCTCTACTGCGCCAAAGCTACAGTATGTGTGCAACATATAAAGTAGAGAAAGAGTCAGATACGACAAACAAGATGTTGACGTGGCAAGACTCGAGGCGTGGGATACGTAAAACAGAATGACATCACCCATAGCGCATGTCAGACGTAACCGTCAGCAGGCAAGTCGTCATAGTTCGACATGCAACGAGNTGCAACGAGAGTGACAACATTTCACTTTTTTGACGAGTGCAAAGGTGGCATTTTTGGTTTGAAGGAACAATGGACATAAAAAGTGCCAGAAATCACAATGGTTGCTGGCTATTGCAATGTGTGTATGTATGCCTGTATTCAGTCAGCAACGTAGTCAAAATGACAAAAAGTACAACATAAGGGGTACTGGGTAATCACGCATGCGCGCGCATAGATCCGATGGCAAGAGTATCTTAATTATAACCATTATAATCGGCACTGCTGCTAAAACTGAGATGGAAACATTAAATGCGGCAAACCAGCAGGGGAGAGTATCAAGGACGTGAATATTTACATATGTACATCAGCACGTGATCCGAAACTGTATCAATCGATTACTGTGGAATACTGATAACAGAACTATTGTACATAAAGTAATCGAAAGTAAAAGACCCAAATTTATCATTATAATCATCATCATCTGTATTATTACAATAAAACGTACCGATGTGTATGTAGTTTTCGTTGTTGTTGTCAATTTTATCATGCCCTGACCGCTGGTTCCTGAGATTCATCAGCTCATCCTCTAGTTGTTCAATACGTAGTTCCGAAGATGCGAGACGTTCATTCTGAAATGAGTTGTTGTGATGAGGTGTCAACTATATCTTAGATTGGATTTTTGCAAGGTTTTTAAGTAAATCCAGGTCTAACAGAGATACCTGGTAATTCAACTTGATATAATTAATAATAAGAGGGAAGATGACCAGCTATACATAAACTCACGGCTGTTCGCAGAATCTCATCATATTCTGTGCTTGCAACCACTTCACCGGCAATCAATTTAGCTTCCAATTGGAGGCATCCAGCACACTGAAGCGTGTGTGTTACGGTGAAGTGAGAAAGGGAGCGAGAGAAAGAGAACGACTTGATCACACTGTTGTTTCCAGTGAGATGGAGAAATATATGCACAAAGAAACCACGAACAATGATCACCATTGAAAAGTGAAACGAGAAGAACCAAGAGATCAATACGCAAATAACAGTAACCCAACATGAAGTAATGCCTGAAACGAACCAAGTGGTTACCTCTATCACACCCACCACCGGCAGCTCAGGTTGCAGCATTCTACTGCTGCATTCATTCAGTGCGGGCCTATTGTTGGTGTACAGTCGGGATTTGTGCCCCCGAAACATGGACGATTTAAGTCGTTGTAACCAACGATATTTCGTCTTTTGATCGGATTGGATGGAGTGAAACTGGGATAACGGTGGTCTCATTATTGTTGGTGGCAGCAAGGTGTTAGTGGTGCTTGAAATATGAAACACCGG